CTGCGCCAGGGGCCCCGGGGGCGGCCCGCCGGGGCTGCGGGCCGGGGGGCGGGCCTTGCCCGGAGACGACTGGCTAAAGGTGAGTGGTGTAGCGTACGCCTAACTTCTGCGTTGTCCCAGTACAGGTTAGCAGAGTGGTTACTTGAGTGGGACAAGCGTGGGTCCCAACTCCGACACTGTTACTCTGTGCGTGTGGAGTCCTGTACCAGTCACTTCACTTTTGAGTTTCATCTTTCTCATCTTTCAGTTGGAGGTAACTACCTGCCTGGCAGGGCTGCGGACGTGCCTGACACACAGCAGGGCTCAATAAGCCGTAGCCATTGTTAAGAAGAATAAAACCCAGGGCCGCAGACACAGGGAGAGAGCTGACGGAGGCGCTGTCGCGGACGGAAGCCTGGCTTTTGGGCTTCCCTGTTGGTCTCTGTGTTGTCGGATGTCCTGCTAAGTCAGTTCAACCAGAGCCCACCCCCACCCCACCCCCCACCTTCCGCGGCTGCTTGGCTTCCTCATCCTCTGCGGTCCTCCGCGACGTCTGATCACCCAGGCCTGGTCAGGGTAGCCAGAACTCCCTGACCCCTGAGGTTCCCTCTTAGTAATTCTCCACACCAGCCCCATCCTGCACCTCGGCCGTAAATTCCCACTGCCCCTGCTGTACCGGGCGTTGAACACAACCTGTCTCCGCAGCTGCAAGACTGCACGGCAGTGGTCCCTGCACCTACTGAAATAGTCTTCGCCCCACCCTGAATAAAATCTGCCTTACTGTGTCACTGCATTTTTTTTCCTTCAATAGTTCCTGATCCTTCCAGGCCTCAGTGTGTCTACAACACTTTACCTCCTACGATGTCAAGCAATTTCCAAAATGTTGTAACAAATGTTAATGGATTCAAAGCTGATTCAGAAAATTCCAGGGAGAGACCGTGAGAGAGCAGGGGCCATAAGAAGTCGGAGAGGAAGCACAGTTATTTCCAGGAGTCACACACTGCAATATCTATAAAGTTAACCCTTGAACAATGTGTGGGGGAGGTGCTGGAGTCACAGCCGATACGGGGAGAGGAGGGTCCACATCAGAGAGTAGGTCAAAATATTACCTGCCCAGGGAGTGATGGCCCAAACATGTAGCTACCCATGCAGAGTGGATGCTAACCGATCAGGAGGGGCCACAGAGGCCAGTGAGAGCTGACACCAGCTAGAAACAAGGACCTCCAAACCAGTGCAAACTGGCTTTGTCAGCCTTGATTCTGCCACAAAGGCACGTAGAGGCATGCTAAGTGGATGTACTGTGTGGCCTGGAGTAAGGCGCTTGACCTCTCTGAGCTCTCATCAAGTCCACTTTGGGCTCCTCTCACTCTTCCTCTGCCTCCCTCTAGGCGCTGGGCTCTCCAGACACCCTACACACTCACCTCAGACCAGCTCCTCCACCCACAAGGCTGAGTCGAGCATCTGGGTGAAGGGTCACATGTGTGGGAAGAGGAGACATGAATCCTGGGGTGGAGACGAGGCGGGGGAGGGTGGGTTGAAGAAGAGACTCACTGACTGCCTGCGGGCGGGAGGAAGCCGCCTGGAGCAGATCTGATTTCTCCAGACAAAAAGGTGGAGGGAAGGTACACAGGATGCAGGAGGCTGCAGGCACGCCTGGAGTTCTGTCCACTGTCATCCCTGACATCAGCCTGCCTTGTTAACTGCCGTTTCTTTTTACTATTCAGCAACACTTAGGGAAAAAAGAGGGGGAACTTAAAACCCCGCTGTCATCACTTCCCTGTGTTGCCATGCAAAAGAACCATTCCCAGGATGTTAAAAATATAAAAGGATCTTCCGCTCCAGGCAAGTTACGTTAGGAGGACTAGACATGAACAACTAGGAAGCTGGGCAAAGCTTATCAAAGAGCTCTTTCCAGACCCTGGACAAGCAGTGGCTTGGGGCTAGGACTTGGGAGGAAGTGGGGGGGGGGGCCTAGGTCTGCCCTGGCTGGACGCCCAGAGGCGATGGTGCCCAGAGACGGGTGGTCTCAGTGGCTCGAGGAATGAGGCAGCTGGAAGTTGCCAGGCATGGTTCCAGAAAGGAGGCAGCTGTGCAGAAAAGGAGCTCTGGAAATCTGCTTGGAATTCCTTAGAGTTTTGCCGAGTATGTGACTTGCATGTGTAGATCAAACTCCACAAAGACACAGACCAATCAGGGACTGGGAAGCTGACAAATTCCCGGAGTTCTTGGAGAAAGATGTTCAAGCTCTGAGCAGCCGGGGTAGCTTCCTCGGTGATGGCCCAGGGCAGACAGCGGACACCCCAGAGCAGGCCTGTCTGAGTAATAACCCAAACTACCCCCTGAGTAAAAGCTAACCTACTGTCCCCTAGCAAAACTTTAAAACAAGCCTCAGACAGAAATCAGCCAGTATACCGAAGAAGCCAATGCCACCATCAGCCACCTGGACCCAGTGGGCATTTACACGACACTCAGCCCAATCACAGTTCCGCAGATCATACTTGCTCTCAAGTGACTGGGAACAAATAACAAGGTGGCTCACATCCTGGGCCATTAGACAAACTTCAACAAATCTAAGAGAACTGAAATTAGAGAGTGTGTTCTTTGACCGCAATGGACCCCACTCAGAAATCAGTTACAGGAAGATAGTAAGAAAGTCTCCAGATACAAACAAACTGACCTACGCAGTTCCACATTTTCCCTTTTTAAAAGAGGTTGTCTCAAGAGAAGTAAAAACTGTTTAATAAGCATTAAGCTGAATAAAAAAGAAAACAGTACATTTTAGAATGTATGGGGCATAGCTAAAGCCACGCTGAGAGGGAAATTCATAGCACTAAAGGTGTTAGCAAAGAGAAAAGTCTTAAAGCAGCAGAGGTCCTTAAAAAAACCAATAAATTGCGCTTCTTTGCAATTAGAAAGTTTTGTTTGCAAACCACATGCCTGAAAAAGGACTCACATCAAGGATATATAAAACTCAACAGTAAGAAGAACCCGAACAATCCAATTAGGAATGGGTTACAAGACTCCTACACTGAAGGTAAACTGGTGCAGCCACTATGAAAACCAGAATAGAGGCTCCTTTTTTTAATTGTGAGGGATTAAATGGTAGGCTTGTTAAGGAAGGGAAAAAATGTAACCAAATTTTTAAACATTCTTTTATAAATTTATTTTTTCCTTTTTCAGTTTTATTAGATAGAACTATTAAAATAAAGGTTTTTAAAGATATTTTATTTATTTATTATTGTATTACTTATTTGGGGGGGCGGGAGGTAACTAGGTATATTGATTTTTAGAGGAGGTACTGGGGATTGAATCCAGGACCTCATGCTTGCTAAGCGAGCATTCTACCTCTTGAGCTATACCCTCCCCCCAAAATAAAGTTTTTAAAAATAAAAAATGGTTATGATTTGCTTAAATGGTTTCACAAACATCTCTACCATGGAATGTTAGTCAGCGGTATAAAGAAATGAACTCGGTTTTTCCTTTTCACTTTTTTTTTGTCTGTTGTTATTTTTTTGTGGGGGAGAAGTCATTAGATTGATTTATGTATTTGTTTGCTTATTTTTAGCGGAGGTCCTGGGGATGGAACCCAGGACCTCATGCATACTAAGAATATGCTCTACCACTGAGCTATACCCTCCCCCCAATTTTGTTTGTTTTGAACTGTTGCTACACACGATGATTTGAGGGCACCCCAAAGGCACTATCCTGCACGAAAAAAGGCAGTTCTCAAAAGGTTCTGTGCCTGAAACGACATAATTACAGAAACGGACAACAAATTGGTGTGAGAATGTTCCAGGCTCTAATGGCATTATTCATTATTAATGGCATTATTACTGGGTTGCGATTGTGTAAAAAAGTTCCTGTAAGGCCCATGCTACACGTTGAGGTGGGCCATCATGCCTGTTAAAATGAGATATCCCTTTACTGGGCAAAAAGGTTTTAAGTTAAACTAGGTCCCATTTGGCTTTTTGCTTTTATTTGCTTTGCTTTAGAAGAGAGATACAAAAAAAAAAATCTATGATTTATGTCAGAGAGTGTTCAGCCCATGTTTCCTTCTAGTGTTACGGAAACGACAGGCCAGCCAAGAAACAAGCACCACTCGGAGGGTAGGAGCACTCAGGTTTACTACGCCGGCGGGCTCAGAGGGGCTTCTGCTCCGAAGCTCGAGCACCTCCGAGACGTGCGCGTGAGGTTTTACAGGGTTAATTATGAGCTTGGGGTATTCGGCCAATAGGCACGGAACAGCTTTAGCAGCAGCATTATCACACAAGCAGAGGCAGGGAGGCAGCAGACCGACATTTCAAGGCCAGATATGTCTCTGAAAATCCAGCTGGCTAGCAGAAAAAAAACCACGAGCAGGGAATCAGCAAACTCACACTCAGTAACTCAGGTTTACGAGTTAGCCCAGCCTGGCTCTTCCTTCGCACTAGAAATTCGAGGGTTCCCAGTCTCACATGTAAGCCTTTAATCTGTTGTAAGGGTGGGGCTTCTACTTAGGAAATTGTGAAGAAGGAAACAGAAATCCGTGTTAGTTTTGCTGTTACACCTCAAACGGCAAAAGCTGCGGTTCCTTCATGAGAAACGGCCGCCGTGCTGCCCAGAGCGGCTGTGTGACTTCGCGTGCTCATCCGGGCCGTACGGCAGTGACAGCGGCTCCACTTCCTCACCAGTTCCTGTTTCTTGTTTGCTTGCTTTTCCCAAGCCATTCCAGAGGCGTAGAGGACGGCTGCTGCCACCCTTACTTGCGTCTCCGGCTGTCTCTTGACGGAACATCTTGCTGTATGCTCATTTGCCTCCTATATATCTTTTTTTTGGTGAAGTGTCTGTTTGGATCCTTTGCTGCTAAAAACCAAATTTACTGGGGTACAATTGATATATAATACACTGTACATTTTTTTCTAGGGGGAGGTAATTAAGTTTATTTCTTTATTTAATGGAGGGACTGGGGATTGAACACAGGATCTCATGCATGCTAGGGAGGCACTCTCCCCTCCCCTCCTAAACTCTACATATTTAAAGTGTATGACTTGATACATTTTGGCACACGTATCACCCACAAAACAACCAGTACAATCAAGATAATGGAGATCAACTGCATCTCCAAAAGTCTCCTCCTGCCCCGCCCCACCCTCCATCCTTAAGCAACCAGTCATCTGCGTTCTGTTGCTGTAGCTTAGTTTACACTTTCTACAGTTTTATATAACTGGAATTATACAAAAAATAACAAAAGTATGTTTGATAACGATAGTCCTTTTTGTCTGACTTCTTTCGCTCAGTAGAATTACCTTGAGATCCATTCACATTGTTGCGTGTGTCAATAGTTCACGAACTTCTCACTAAGTAACGCTCCACTGTGCATCACGGTTTGTTTATCCACTCACCTGTTGGTGGTAGACATTTATGCTTTCTTCCTTCCTTCCTTCCTTCCTTCTTTCCTTTCTGCTGCGTCCAGCGCAGCTCAGGACCGTGTCTGAGGATGGGCGACGCAAGACTTAAGAAACAAAGAGACAAAGTAAAGAGCAAAGATGGGACCAGGGGACTCAAGGTCTCGTGGATCCAGAGCGCTGACAGCCTGGTCGACATCATATTTATTAGTAGACAGCTCAGAAAAAAATGCGATCAAAGAGGTGGGGCTTGACACAACATTGTAAAATGATTATAAATCAATAAAAAATGTTAAAAAAAAGAAAGAAACAAAGCATAAATACAAAACAGAAATAGACTCATAGACAGAATACAAACTTGTGGTTGCCAAGGGGTGGGGGGTGGGAAGAGATAGACTGGGATTTCAAAATTGTAGGATAGATAAACAAGATTATACTGTATAGCTCAGGGAAATATATACAGGATCTTGTGGTGGCTCACAGAGAAAAAATGTGAAAATGAATATATATATGTTCATGCATAACTGAAAAATTGTGCTGTACACTGGAATTTGATGCAACATTGTAAAAGGATTATAAATCAATAAAAAATGTTAAAAAAAGAAAAAAAAAGAGGTGGGGCTTTAGGTATTTCCTGCGATAAGCACCAAGTTCTGCTTGCTGGCTAACTGATTAATTTCAGGCTCATCCCTTCCAGGAACAATCACCCTCCTCGGGGTGTGCAAAATTTCTGAGTCTATCCTATCATCCCCTCTGGGACATCTCGAGATAGCAGATAATTCCCCGGGGTTAAACCGCATACTTTCCTGCCAGAACCAAGTTCTGTTAGTGGAAAATCTGGCTTTCCAGGACCACCCATTGTTTCACCCTAAGGAAGTATCTGCCCTCCTTCGTGCCCTTATGGTCAGTCTCAGGATGGCCCCTCACAAATTGTCTTTAGCATAATACATGCTATAGGTCACCTACTGCGTAAACCATTAAAACCAAGCAAGCATGTGCATTTTAAGTAAGTGTGAATATAACATTTTAAGCTCATGGAAATTTAGGTGCTGCTCGTTTCCCAGCACCTCTCTTTCATTCTGTCTCTCTTTTCGGCTGTTACCAATAAAGCTGCTATGAAAATGTGTGTGTCTCTGTGTGGATATAAGCTTTCTTTCTCTTGGGTAAATATGAGGAGTGGAAATGAGTCAGGAGGGCAGACGGCAGGGCACAGCCACTCATGGAGTGGCAGCAACCAAAATGGTGGAAGATTCACCTTCCAGTTGGCCTTGAGAATTAAGAGGTTTGGCTTCCAGTAGACCGTGAGCTTCATTATATGCTCATTGTAACAGCGTGATCAATAACATGGCCGCAGGCGCCATGACAGCTCCCAGGCTAGCCGCCAAAGGCCAAAGCATGGGCCGTGGCCCAGTCCCCGGGAATCCCAGCCCCTTCCAACAGGGCAGCTGGATTGATCCCACCTGTAGGCGTGTGAAGCTGCTGAGACCGTAAAAAGTGAAACCACCACGCCTAGTGGCCCTTTTCGCTCCCTCCCCTTTGGAGACGTCCGTGCTCTGTCTGTGGAGTGTGTGCCTGCTTTCACTTTACCCTGAGCACCCAATTCCCACACCTCCTTCCTGGCCTTTCTCTGGCCTTACACTCTATGCAGTGTGTGTCTCTCTAATAAATCTACCTTCAATCAACTGTGGTTCGCACTTGAATTCCTTTCTACGCGAAACCAAGGACCCACGCTTGGTGGGGCACGTCCCAGGGGCTCAACTGAGACCTGGGACATGGCCTTCCTGACACCTCACATCCGTTTTCCTGCATCAGAATGCTTGGATCACAATGGTAAACGTATGTTTAACTTTTTAAGGAGCTAACAAACGTTTTCAGAAGAGGCTGTACCACCTACATCCCCATCGGCAGCGCACGAGAGTTCCAGTGCCTCCTCAATCTTTCCAACACTGGGCGGGGGTGGGGGTTGTCAGTCATTCTAATCTTACCCATTCTGGCTGATGCAGCGCAGTGGCGGCTTTCATTTGCATTCCCCTAAGAACTAATAAGATGGAGCACCTTTTCACAGGCCTGCCCTCCACCTGCTCGTCTTACTTGGTGAAGCGTCTGTTCACATCTTTCACCCATTGTTAGTTTCCTTTTGCAGCTTTAGCAAGTCACTACAAACTTGATGGCTTAAAAGAGTGCACATCGCATGAATAAGAAGGGCTTTAGTCAATGATCTTAATGAAAAGCCAAAAAGATGGTATGGTTCCCACATGCTTAATATTTTTATAAAAAGTAAAGACATTCCCAAAGACCAGCTGTGCACATCCACACGAGGCACATTTGGGCGCTCGGCTCGGGTGGGCAAAGCCTGCATTCATCACAGGAAAAGGCTTGCAGAACACAGAACAGGTTGTCACTTTCTTCCTCCTTTGCCTTGCAGTAATTTGCAGAAGCTCAGCTCACGAGTTGCCCAGTTGTGCCACAGAGAGTTCCAGAAACAGCCGCACGGGGTTGATACGCCCTCGCTTCCAATTACGCAGATCTCCTTTAACTGCTCTGAGAAATGTCTTGTCGTTTTCAAAGTACAAGTTTTGCACTTCTTTTGTTACATTTATTCCCAAGTATTTTATTGCTTTTTGTTTAATACATAGAGTTGTTTTCTTAATCTCCCATACGGGTTGTTCACTGCAAGTGTACAGACTTATAAGTGAATTTTTGCACACTGATTTTGTATCCTGTAATCGTGCTGAACCGACTTAACTAGTTCTGATAATTCTTGATGGACGCTTAGGGTTTCCTGTATTCAGGAGAAGGCCATCTGTGAACAGTCATTGTTTTCCTTCTTCCTTTCCAGCCCGGACATGGCTCCTCCCTTCGGCCTCACCGGCAGCGTCCTCACCGCCTGACCCGGCTCACGCTGGGATTTCTGCAGAGACAGGAAGATTTTCTTCTCACGTGCTCTTGTTCCCGGGCCCTTTCCAGATTCTGGGACAGCAGTACCATAGAAATGAGTGTCGCTTCCACAAGAGTCTTAGGCAAGCAGACTTTTCATTAAAGGAGACTGTGCACAAGGGAGAAGCTGGGAAAAGAACGCCAGCTCCCAGAGCAGAAGGGGTGAGTTGCTTTTACCACAAAAGGCAGGGTTTGCCCCGTGATCACTGATAACTCCCAGAAATGGTCCGACTTCTTTGATCAGCAGCAGGCGGCGCCGTGGTGGGTCTGGGGAACAGGGGGTGCTTCTGTGAGGGAAAAGGAGCAGGAGAGAATTTTCTGCACGAAAGCACGGGAACACATAAGGTTAACATGTACGGCTGAGTTCTTGTCTGTGGCACCCAGTTGGTTGGTTAGTATAACAGGGATGAAGATCGTCTTTCATTCCAGGGAGCCTGGCTTTCGTCTCTGGGATCTGGCTCCCGGGCCTCTGTTCTTTGGCGTGAGAGGCCTGTTTTGCCCAAGGCCGTTCCCGGTCCTTTCCCAACGTGGCGGTACTCCTGTCTTCCTGACTCTCAGGCCAGCAGCTCCAAACCGTGGGCAGCAGAATATCAAAGACTCGCCTCTTGCTTCGGGAGGCTGGGGCGGGAGGAAGGCAGTGAGAAGCAGACTGAACTAGGACCCACGTGCACAGGTAGCTCCACTGAGCCCCCTGGGTGTGCGAGATGCTGCTGACACACGTCTGCTGAGACGGGACCTTCCTCAAAGCAGGAACCGGGTCCTCTCAGGGCCCCGGTGTGGACACAGCGCCTGGCCTTGGACTTGAAACACATTGCAGGCGTGAAGGCGTGAGGCAGTGACAAAACGTCGTGCGTGTGCACAGATATCTTAAAAATACTTCACTGATAATTTCAAATTGATGGAAGCATTTCAGGAGTCAGAACACTACGAAGCCTGTCCTTTACCCATACTCTGCTGCTGCTAACATTCTGCCCCAGGGGCTTTAATATATGTCATATCATGTCATATATATTGTTATCGACATTTTTAATTGAATCGTTTGAGTGGAGGTTACATGTACAAGCCCTTAGCCCCTAAATACTCAGTGTATTTCTTTAAGAACACAGATTCTCTTACAAACTGCAGACACACTGACTTCAGTCAGTCTCACACTAACACAGTGCTGAAAAAGGCGAGTCTACACAGATGGAGAAAAAGCTTCCGGTTGTGGTGGGGGAAGGGGCGGGGAGGGATAAACTGGGAGTTCAGGTTTAGCAGACACAAACTGCTCTGTATAAAACAGGTAAGAACAAGGTCCTACTGCTCAGCACAGGGCACCATATTCAATATCCTGCCGTGACCTACAACGAGAAAGAACATGCAAAGGAATACACGCATGTTCACGTACGACTGAAGCACTGTGCTGCGCACCAGAAACTGACCCAACACTGCAAACTGACTGCACTTCAGTGAAAAGAAAGTCGGGTCGGCCGCTCCCACGGCAGTGCTGTAACTGCTCCCGGCGCCTGGGGATTCCCAGGCGGGAATCCGGGGAGTCTCGCAGTCTCCGTGGCCTCCTGTCACCGGGAGCATTTCCGGAGCCTTTTGTGTGTGTGTAACTTTGCCATTTTTACGACATTGACATTTTTGAACAATATGGCCCTGGTTGTAAAAATTAACGTTTTCTTTTGGAGCAGTTGTTGATTTAAGCAAAGGTGCAAAGACAGTCCAGACTCGGGTTCCCCAGCGGGGCAACCTTAAACGTTTCCAGGAGCTTTTGTGACAGCTGAGAAACTGACATCCATACGCTCCTATTACTCGCCTCCCCACTTTAGCTGGATCTTCTGTGTCCCCATAACGTCCTTGTCTGCTCCGGGACCCACTGAGGACGTGGTGTTACACTTAGTCTTCAGCCCTCCGCAGGCGCCTTCCATCCGCGGTGATTTCTCAGACTTCCCTTGATTTTGATGGCGTGACAGTTTTGAGGAGGACCGGGCCGGTATTTTGAGGCAGGGCCCTCAGTTTGGGTTTGTCTGATGACTCTCTGGTGGCTAGTCCAGAGTACCAGTTTTGGGCAGAAGACCCAAACACAGCATCCCTCTCGTCCCCTCCTGGGGGTGCGGGACCCGCCGGGCGGCCCATCGCTGGGGTCGACCTGATCACCCCATGGAGGGAGCCTCCTCGGCTGGAGGGGCACAGCCTCCCAGTCCACGCCCCGCGCTCTCTCTGCCTTTATTTAAGAAACATCGTCGTTCTGCGTTTGCCTGACGATTCATTGTGGTTAGATTCCGGCACACGTCCGCGGGCAGGACAGCCTGCGAGGTTGCGGGGAGGGCATGCGGGCCGCCCCCCACCCTCCGCGGCGCTCATCCCCACGACCAGCCACCCCACCGCACGGTCGTTGCTTTGTCCTCTTCACCTCAGGTGTTTTAGAAGTGACTCTTCTCGTGGTGAAGCGTGCAGAACACGACATGTAAGTGTGTATTTAGCGGCGTCGAGGACACGTACGTTATCATGCAAGCATCTCCATTTCCAGAACTTTCTCAGGATCCCAAAGAAAAACTGCTGCCGTTAGCGATAAGCCCTCTGAGACGCTTTTACTTACAGCACTTCTGAAACCAGATGTGTGCAGCCTCTCCGCACCAGGCATCCTCCAGCTCGGTGGACACAATGGGTGCCCTACGATTCACCTGCATGCTGACGCTGCCTGGAGTTCTGGCAGCCCCTCGGGCTGGGGGCTCAGCCCTGCAAGGCCATGCTCGCCTCTGACACCAGCCGTGTTCCCCAGCTGTCGCCTGTGCCTCTGACTGACCAGCTCCAGCTCAGGGGTTCAGTCATCTGATGGAGCAACTCACATGTCAGTTTATTATAAAGGATGAGGCTCAGTGGGGAGGGTGTACCTCAGTGGCCGAGTGCCTGCTTAGCACGCACGAGGTCCTGGGTTTGCTCCCTGGTCCCTCCATTAAAAATAAAACAATACACACTCTTTACTCTGCCCTCCGCCCAGACTCTAGTAGCCATTATTTTGTCTCTGTGAATTCGACTATTTTAGGTACCTCATATAAGTGAGTTCAAACAACATCTGTTCTTTTGTGACGGGCTCGCTTCACTTACCCTCATTTTTTCAAGGCTCGTCCCCGTGTTTCCAAGGCGAACCTGGCTGCACTCACCTGCGCGAAGTAGAGCCAGTCTCCTGCCCTCGGCTTGTGGTGGAGGAAAGTGCAGCGTTCACCGCAGGGCCCAGCGAGGAGTCCAGGCCGCTGGTGCTTAAACACCCCGACTGCCCCCAGGCTCTCAGGGGGCAGCTTTCAAAGACAGGGTGAGGGAGGGGGCGGTGGGCTGTGTGCTCCGCTCACGGACGTTCTTCTGACTGGTTGGTGGTGAGGTAACTGGGAGTCAATATCCTCAACCTTCTGGCTCCAGCTGGCCTGGGGTCTCCGTGCTGGTGGGCAGAGTGCAGTTAACTTCCTCCTCCTGGCGGGGGTCCAGAGTCCATTAAACAGCTCCAGGACGCGGCTCACAATATCATCTCCAGCCTTTGAAGAGGAACTGGAGGTCCCTGACTTCGTTTTATGACCAAACTGTGATTATTCTGTCTTGCCTGACTGTCTTCCTTTGTTTCTGCATTTTCTCACTTCTCTGATTGAATTTGTTCTTTGTCACTTGGGGAAGGCCTGGGAGGCTAAGGTTTTTCTACAAACAAGAGGCAAATGGAGGACATGGGTGGGGGTTCTGTCCTGGGAAGGCCCCAGAGGGTCCTGCTCAGTTACACAGGTTGTAGCGTATACCATAACTTCAGTCCTTTTCAGGGCTGACTACTATTCCATCATGTGGATACACCGTGTATTGTTTACTCACTCATCAGTGAACATTTGGGCTGTTTCCACCCTTTGGATACTGTGAACATGGGTGTACAAACATCTATTCAAGCCCCTGCTTTCAGTTCTTTTGGATATGTACCTGGAAGTGGAATTAATTATCTTGGATACAGTCATCCCCTGGTATCTATAGGGGATTGGTCCCAGGACCCCTCAAGGACACCAAAATCTGTGGATGTCCAAGTCTCCTATAAAACGGGGTAGTGTTTGCACATAACCTGAGCACACCCTCCGCATACTTTAAACCATCTCTAGCAGCTTGGCTTTATTCCATCGGCCTGTATGTCTGTCCTTATGCCAGAATCAGTTTCGATGACAATAGCCTTGTACTAAGCTTTGACATCAGGAGCTATGAGGCCCACAACTCTGTTCTGCTTTCTCAAGATTCTTTCGACTATGTGGGGCCCCTTGAAATTCCATACACCTTTGAGGACAGGTTTCTCTGGTTCTGCAAGAAAGGCCTTTGGATTTTGACGGGAACCACATCCTGTATGTCAATTGTCTTACGTAGCGTCCCCACCTTAACAACGCTGAGTCCTCCAATCTGTGAACGTAAGATACTTTCCCATTTATTCAGGTCTTCAAATGTTTTTAGCAGTGTTTTAGAGTTTCCAGTGTGTAAGTTTCATCTTTTTGTGTACATTTATTCCCAGGTATTTCCTTCCTTTGAATGTTGCTTGTAAACGAAACTGTTTTCTTTCTTTTTTTAAAAAAAGTTCTTACTTTTTATTGAAGTGTAGTTGATTTATAGTGTTCGTTTCAGATATACAGCAAAGCGATCTAGTTATACACATACACACACATATGTATTTATTTCAGATTCTTTTCCATTACAGCTCATTACAAGACATTGAATACACTTCCCTGCGCTGCACAGTGGGTCTCATCGTTTTCCTTTGTTTGGTAAAAACTGGGAGAGAGCTTATTTCCAACAACCAGCACCAAAGGGATTTTTGAGATACAACTGACATAGAACATTGTATAAGTTTAAGGTGAACAACATACTGCTTTGACACACGTATATGGCAGTATCATTGCCATCCCAGGGTTAGTGAACGCCTCTGCTGAGCCCCACAGCCCTCACTTCTCGTGGGAACAACCACTACCCAGTGTCTTAGCAGGTTTAATGTTTACAATACAGTTGTATTGTCTGTAGCGGAACTGTCTTCTCAGTTTCATTTTTGAATTATTTATTGCTGGGATATAGAAACAAAAATGATCTCTGGACGTTGATATTGCACCCTTCAACTTTGCTGAATTTTTTATTAGCTCTGGTAGTTTTGATCATGTGAGGCTTCTTTGGGAGTTCTCCACATAGTTTTCGTAACATCTGCCAATGGATTCACTCTGTTTCCAGTCTGGATGACTTTTGCTTCTTTTCCTACCTGAATGCCCTGGCTAGAACTCCCAGTTTGATGTTGAATAGCAGTGGCGGAAGTGGACGTCCTTGCCTTTCCCCCTTTAGGGGGAAAGTTTCTAATCTTTCCCCATTGAATATGATGTTAGCTGTGGATTTTTCATAAATACGCTGTATCATGTTGAAGAGTTTCCCATCTATTCCTAGTTTTCTGTGTATTTTTTAAAATCACGAAACAATAATTGTATTTTGTCAAATGCTTTTTCTGTGTCAATTCAAGCAATCGTGTGAGGTTTTTTTTCCCTTTTCTTCTTCTGATGTGCTATATTTCATTGATTGACTTTCGTGTATAGAACGCACCGTTGCATTCCTGGGCTAAATCCCTCCTGTTCATAGCGTATAATCCTTTTAATATGACGCTGGGTTTAGTTCGCTAGTTTCTTTGTTGAGAAACTTTGCATCTGTACTCATAGGGATTTTGGTCTGTAGTTTTGATGTATCTGACTGGATTTGACATCAGAGAAATGCTGGTCTCATAGGATGAGTGGGGGAATGTTTCCACCTCTTCTACACTTTGGAAGAGTTTGGGAAGTTTTGGTTAATTCTCTAAATGCTCAGGAGAATTCCCCAGTGAAGTCGTCTTGTCTTGGACTGTGATCTGTTGGAAGGTTTTTGGTGACAATCTCTCGTTATAGGTCTGTTCAGATTTTCTTTCTCTTTTTCAGTCACTGTTACTAATACGTGTTTCTGGAAATTTTTGTGTTCCGTCCAGGCTGTCCAGTGTGCCGGCACGCAGTAGCGTTTATCGTATTCTCTTCCACGTCTTTCTGTTTATGGAAGGGTGTTTGTAATGTCCCCGTGTTTGTTTCTGATTTTAGTTATTTGCATCTTTTCCTTTTTCTTGGTTAATCTTGCTAAAGATTTGTTGATGTTTTCAAAGAACAGCTTTTGGTTTCATCGATTCTCCTGTTTTCCTATTTTCCATTGCATTGATCTCTCCAGTGTTTATTTTCTTCCTTCTGTGAAATTTGGGTTTCGTTTGCTCTTTTTCTGGTTCCCTAAGTTTCAGCATGAGATTGTTCGTTTGAGAGCTTCTTTTTTAATGGAGGCTCTTACAGATACAAACATTCCCCTGAGCGCTGTTTCACTGCACGTCGCGACGTTCGCGTGCTGTGTTTCCACCTTCCTCCGTCCCCAAGTATTTCCTGGCTTTCCTCGTGCTTCCTTCTGTGGACCACGGCACCTTGGAGAGC